TAAAATGTAAACAAATCAGCAATTTATAAATTGAAAACAGCATAAATATATTTTATAACATATACAGTAGGCCTCCATATCAATGCAGTGATGCTGAATAATTCATGAGAGCTTTAATATTACAGTTTGAGTGAGTTGTAACAATGACCTCACATAATTTTTTTATTTAGTAGCAGCTAAAGCTCTTGATGCAAATTTTACCCCCTTATTGACCTTGTGCATTATTTTTCATACATTTTGAACATGGGTTTTATTTTTACATAAGCTTTTATGCAAGATTTAACCTTTACAGAACTGAAATGACGTCTTTCCTTATATCAAAATTATTTTAAAATTTCTTTTAGGTGATAACTATATGCAATACAAAACAAACTGTTAAGGCCCCAGGTTGTATAGGGGTATAGTGTAAAGCTATTTGGATACTTGTGGGCTAGGGAAATCTGGTACGCATACAGTATATACAAGTGAAGGTGACATTTAAAGGGATAGTTCACCCCAAAATCAACATTCTGTGACCAACTGTTTCTGTCCATACAATGGAAGTCCTAGTTACCCGAGTCACCTATCCTTTTAACAGGGACAGAGACACACAGAAAAGACCATTAATGCTGTCAAAGGCACCTTATTACCTGAACTGAACTAGGAAAAAAAAAAAGAAAAAATATATTCCTCTGCCTTTACCCTACTTTGTGTGTCTATACAATTATAAAAAAATGAATTAGCATATGTCACATTACATCCTACCTGCGAATAAATGTGCTGGAAGTGCACTAAATGTAATGAATGAATAATGTACAAAACTGATTTGAAAATGATTAACTTGAAATGAAGTTTCTTTTTCTGTTTCTTTAACATATAGTTCAATTATAAATACCATGGCCATGATATTTCCAATAATCAGATTGGCTACACATAAGCCACAAACTTAGACATTTTCACAGTTTCAGTGAGAATCTAGAACTTTTATTACTGCCAAAATGAGATGTGACCATTGGATGAAATATTAAAATAGATAGAAAAAAAAAACAAAAAACTAAATAGTTAAAATAAAAAGTCACATTTATTGTATCATTTTTAGGTGATAACTATATGCAATACAAAACAAACTGTTAAGGCCCCAGGTTGTATAGGGGTATAGTGTAAAGCTATTTGGATACTTGTGGGCTAGGGAAATCTGGTACGCATACAGTATATACAAGTGAAGGTGACATTTAAAGGGATAGTTCACCCCAAAATCAACATTCTGTGACCAACTGTTTCTGTCCATACAATGGAAGTCCTAGTTACCCGAGTCACCTATCCTTTTAACAGGGACAGAGACACACAGAAAAGACCATTAATGCTGTCAAAGGCACCTTATTACCTGAACTGAACTAGGAAAAAAAAAAAGAAAAAATATATTCCTCTGCCTTTACCCTACTTTGTGTGTCTATACAATTATAAAAAAATGAATTAGCATATGTCACATTACATCCTACCTGCGAATAAATGTGCTGGAAGTGCACTAAATGTAATGAATGAATAATGTACAAAACTGATTTGAAAATGATTAACTTGAAATGAAGTTTCTTTTTCTGTTTCTTTAACATATAGTTCAATTATAAATACCATGGCCATGATATTTCCAATAATCAGATTGGCTACACATAAGCCACAAACTTAGACATTTTCACAGTTTCAGTGAGAATCTAGAACTTTTATTACTGCCAAAATGAGATGTGACCATTGGATGAAATATTAAAATAGATAGAAAAAAAAATAAAAAATAAATAGTTAAAATAAAAAGTCACATTTATTGTATCATTTTTTTAATGAACAAAAAAAATATGTAGGTTTAAAAAGATAAATCATTAAATATATGGTGCAAAGTAAAGATAAAAAGTATTACTTTGGGGTTGATACTTTGTGGTTGTTGGCTGCAAATGTTCTATCTCCTTTGGTTTTATATCTAGTTCTTGGAACTGCCAGCAATTCTTTAAAAGAAGATTTAAGACATCTCCCTGTTTCATATGGTCTCAGAAGCTCAGCTAAATACATAGGTGCCAAGCCATTTAACGCTTTATATGTCAATAATAAAGTCTTAAAATCAATCCTATAATAAATAGGTAACCAATGTAGAGAAGCTAAAACAGGTGTAATATGATGAAAAACTTTGTTAGTGTCAATAATCTGGCTTCAGCATTCTGCACTAATTGTAAACGTGATAAATTATGATGATTCAAAGAAGAAAACAAGGCATTACAATAGTCAAGACGGGAAGAAATAAAAGCATGAACAAGTTTCTCTGTATCCTTAAAATTTAAAAACCGTCTCACCTTAGAAATATTTCTTAACTGATAAAAACAAGATTGATTTCTTGACATGAAATTCAAAATTTCAAAATTCAAAATTTAAATTAGTTTCAAAATAAACACCCTAATTTCTTACTACATGTTTATTATTCGGAAAAACACTATTTAGAACAAGCTCAATCTGATTACTCAAGCTCTGACCAATTATAACAACATTTTTTTCAGTATTTAACTGCAGAAAGTTTAGAGCCATCCACATTTTTTATATCAGTTAAACATGCCTGAAGGACATCCAAACTATTCAGATCTTTGGAACTCAATGATAAGTATAATTGTAAGTCATCTGCATAACAGTGAAAATTTATATTATGTTTTCGGATTACATCACCTATTGGAAGCATGTAAATTGAAAACAAAATTGGTCCTAAAAGGGATCCCTGCGGAACTCCACATAAAATTTCAGTACGTTGGGATACTTCATCTCCAACTGACACTACAAATGTCCTGTTTGATAAATAAGACACAAACCAATCCAACACCGTCCCAAAACCCTGACCCATGTATGTTCTCAATGTATTAATTAAAATAGAATGGTCAACTGTATCAAAAGCTGCAATCAAATGTAGTAAAACTAACACTGAAGAACGTTTAACATCCATGAAACCTTTCCATTGGACAAAAGGTTCTTTATAGTGGAAACGGTTTTTAACTGTTCTCTGACAGTTTCTGTGGAGAAACAAAAATAGATCTTCTACAGCGTTGCTGTGAAAACTCACTTTTGGAAGCTTTATTTTTTTAAATTTTGGATCATGTTGATGGTTAATGTGAGAAACTACAGCTGTGTAAACTGATTTCACAAATCCACTAAAAATCACCAAGAGTTTAAATTGAAAATTTACTATTAAAAGTGAAGAAAACTAGCAGCATTTCTTTGCAGATGTCTGGTTTAATACTTTCTATTCAATGCAAACCATGCATGAGAACATCTTATTGATATAGAAAAGTCTACTCATGTAATTAATATTTTTCCATATCAGTAAGATATGGAACTCAGAGTAGGCTACATTTATCATTGGACACTAGTTTACTTAAACAAACCTGTTAGTAATTACACGTACAAAATGCAGACACTCAGTGGAGAGAGTGACAGAGAACTGCTTACATTAACAATTCAATGGGAGGAACAAAGACATGCTAATTCTGGTGGCAACAGTTGAAAGTTGTGAACACATGTAGGTGTGTTCTCTCCGTTACGATGAGTTGTAATGTCCTTTCAGTGTTACTTTTTACAGTGTTACAAGGCCACTACTATGTTATGTTTAGGATTTATTTCTTGTAAATGCTATAATCGTAAACGGTCATGTTATAAAATAAATAATAATGATGATGATGATAAAAACTAAGATGATTCTTCCATTAGGAGAAATATTCTGTCCCCAGGATGATTTTAAAGAAAAAACATTATTTTTTTAATGATTTCAGTAGAATTTTACCTACTTTACATTGAAACTATGTTCTCTATTGTGCTTTTTAAATTTTTAAGATTGTTGAAATGCTATGCATTTGCCACAGTTCCCCAATTTTGGGCATGTCTCTCGCCCAGACTTCTTAACTTCCCTTCTAAATTGTTGTTGTTGTTGTTTTTCTTAAAAAACTTTTCCAACTAATTTGGCATTTATATAATTATCAAAGAAATTGAAAAATAAATTAAGATATAATGTAAATAAGTGAGAGTTTGAAGAACAGAAATGTCATAAATTTTTTTTTAAACTTTGACAAAATGATCTGAGAGATTTAGGTGTCCTTACCAAAACTGATTATTTCAGTAGGCTATTTTAATTAAGAAACAATCAATTAATTAATTTAAAGATTCAACGTTAATTGCTAACTCACTTAGCTACTGTGCTAGCCAGTCCAACTTTTATTCGATTTTTTGACAAAAACTCAAAAAATGCCATACCCTCGACGTCATACCATCACAACAATATCGAAATCAACAAAAGCAGACATTAAAATCTACTTGAAGGTCTATCAAGGCCTGATTTTATTCCAGGACGTTACCATTTAAAACACAAACAAACACACATACTTTGAAGAAGTTTCTCAAGATTTCAAGTAGTTAAAAGTTTCTGTAATTTAAAAAATCCCTCATAAATGAATCCAAATATAGTTAAAATATAATTATAATATGATTTGGCAAAGATATCTGTATAAAGTCTTTATATATATATATATATATATCTTCCATAAATTGAATCGACGTCTTAATAGCCAAAGGAAAGACAAATTTGGATTCGGAATCGGTGCATTCGCAACGGTTTCATTTGGGCGTGCGAAAGTAAAACGGCTCGTTAATTTCCTCACTTAGTGGCACGGGTTGCGGGGGGTCAGATGTGAAGCACCAACCCGGCGAGAACATCGGGTGCCACATTTCGGTGGTCTTGAACATCCATTGCCCCTTTGCGCAACAGCCGCTTCTCCGCCGAGAGGTCCTCGCGGTGCACAAAGGCAGCTTCCGAGAGGGCAGCGTCAGCGCGAGAGAAACCACCTCCGGACCGAGTCCGACCGTCTCAACTCGAAAGCCAGCGTTGTTTTTCCAAAAGGTAAGAACTCCGCGAACACATCTCGGCTGATTTCGACCGCGGGAGTTGCCCACTCGGGCCCGGAATCGTGCAGCGGACCAGTGTCGTTTCCTATCCTGCGCGAGCGTGGTTGTTCTCAACAGAAAATGGCGTCACCGTTCGTTCTGGCTGTGCAACCGGGGAAAACGCACTTGTTCCGAGCGCTTAAATCGGAGCGAGAGTTGACTCGGACTCGCCACGACCGTCCGCGGAGATAGAGCGAATCCACGGGCCTACTTGGGAGCGAATATGGCACTTCATAACAAAACACCGAAGAGGAGAGGACGCGTAAAGGCGGAAGGGTCACCAGACCTGTGCGCCAAAGCGGCTTCGGGAAGATGGCACAGCGCCGCAAAGCGCAGCATTTTATCGTTCGGACGTGCCCTATAATCGCGCAAATCCTCTCGAGCGTGTTCGGTTTGTGACACTTTAAGGACGCGATTTCATATTTTGCTGGGTTTGGGTTCGGAAAGCACTGCAAGTTAGTGGCAACGTCGTCTTTTGTATCAGGCTCTCGCCTCAGCCCGCCTTTACGCCGCACTCGCTCCCTGGTAAGCATCAGTCCTTCTTATGCCGCTTAAAAGCTCCATTCTGCACATGGGCTCTCCTTCTCCATCAAGTTAATCTGGCCCATTGTGGTCCGCAATAGAGGAGATTTGGCCTGACAATGTAACCGTGTAAAAGAGATTTACAGAATAATGGAGCGATGCAAATTGCTTCACGAAAACGCTAAACAGCCTGAATCCGAATCCGAAAAAAACCCGTCGATGTAACCTGCGCTTACATTTTAAAACAGTTTGGCCAAATGAACTGTGTATGCGCCACGACGTGTCTAAATTGCGCATAGGGGAGAACGCAAACCACTGCTTTTCCAACAGGTTTTCGAACCACAGTAATAGCCACGGATAACGCAAACGCACAGTTTTCGGTGTTATCCGAGGGATAGGCTAGGACAGAGTCTCTCTTTCGTGGTCAGATGCCTCTTTTTAGCAACTGTGGACTTGGTGATGCTCGTGCTGCCAATGGCCTCGCGCGTTCCCGCACACATGCATCCACAATCTTCCGTCGCAAGTCAGTCAAACGTATGTTAAATATGTCTATCCTGGTCATCCAGACGTTCCAGTTGGATGCATTCGCTTTAATTTGGAGACGGTCAGTGCTGGATTTGGGTATGAACTTTTTACGTTGTTCTCTCACATTTGGCCCCAGTGTGTTTTGATGGGGGCTCGCGAATATGAGTGTGTTTTTAAACAAGTTAGGTGCGTTTTTGTACTTTAAAAGTGTGAATTTACTCTCTAACTGTATGTTAATGGCTCTATTTGTAAAAGCGTGATATAAAATGATGTACGTTTTTGTCTGGTAAATGTGCTCGCGTGACCACGCAATTCTAAACAACCGTAAGATCTGGACTTTTAGTCTATGATTATTGAAAACATCATTTAATAACGATTTGAATGGCTATAACGCGTTTAATCCCAAAGCTTCAGGAGGGATTGGCACAGATCGCGTGTCTATTATTTTAAATTATTATTTTTCCGGTCACGTGGCCAAATGTCTCTGATGCATTTGGGTGGTGATGGTCATTTCAAGACGTTCTCGGTTGTTATGCTTGTACTCGCACACAGATATCACGCTTTAGTGTTATTGGTATTTCTTCAATTGTTATTAAGTTTGCAAAGTACTTGTTCAGGCACGAGTCCACATGGATAGTCAGATGTACACGCGACTTATTGATTTGCCAAACACAATACGACTCACTCGTATCGAACACATTTGTCTGCCATCAGCTGAATCGCGTCATATAAAAGCATGAAGGTGGTTTTGTGAAGCATAATTAATGTTCATTTGTACGGTTGGCCACGGACACGTGCTCTTTCTTGCAGCGCTTGTGACTTCCTGCCTCGCGAATGTTTGGGCAGGACAGTCAGGTGTAACGTCCTTTACGATCACAACACAACATGTTATAGATTTCATTTGCGCTTTTATGAGCAAACAGGTTACGTTAAAACAACGGTACACGCCGAAGCACATCAATGAATACCTTTTACCATGGTAACTACAGTTTCCGCCCAAATACCACAGTTACAGCTGTCTTCACACTTACGACTATAAAGAGACAGTTGATGAGTAAAGTCAAGCACTAGTCACACCACAATACTATTTAAATGAATGCAAAAGCTAAAAAATGTCCAAAAATTAAGAATTTAAAAGAAATGAAATATTAATATGAAATGTATTGCCTACATATGTTAAGCTGTTGAATAATATGTAAAATAAGTTGTAGCTGTTATGAATTCTCGGTTAATTGGTATTTTTTTATGCATTCTTAAGTTTTTGAGGCATGTTCTTAGTGGCATTTTAACCAATTTACCACAGTTTTACTGTAGTGTAAGTTACTATGGTATTTTGGCACAAGCTATAGTGACCATTGTACTTTTTTGTAAGTAAATGTAGATTATTTCCTTGTTTCCACTCAGATATGTGTATAGTTGTCTGTTTTTGCTTGTTGCAATCTAAAGAGTTTTGTAAAAGTGACAGTAATCTATATTTCATAGTACATTTTTAGACTAATTTGAATAACATTGAGAGTTCATGTCGACATGATTTTGGAAAAGGTCCCAAAAAATGAAAATTCTGTCATTAATTACTCACCCTCATGTCGTTCCAAACCTGAAGACCTTCGTTCATCTTCGGAACACAAATTAAGATATTTTTGATAAAATCTGAGAGCTTTCCGCTCAAATTATCTTAATTTGTGTTCTGAAGACAGGTTTGCAACGACATGAATTTTCATTTTTGGGTGAACTATCCCTTTAATATTTTACACCTCTGATGCAATTTCATTTCAGTTTGTCCTGTTGTCAGGAGTTCTCCTTTCCATTACATCTGGGCAATTATGATGTTTGTTTGATGCATGACAGACATTTCCATAATTCATATTGTTTTGTCCTTTTTAGCACATAGCTGTTATGCCTCATCTTGACATTTATTTCCTTGGTAAATGTGCAGTGAAAGGTCTTCATCATCACACGATCATCACAGCGACAGTAATGTCTGTTTGTCTTTGTCAATACCTGCATAAACAACCATCGTCGACTTATTACAAGCAAATATTTCTAGTTCTGTGTACAATTTTTGAATTTCTGCTTTTGCTGATGGAGAACTTGTTGCCATTTCAGGAGGCATGCGGGAATAAAAATCATTCCTCCATCAAAAGCTTTGCGAAGGAACAGCTCTGCTGATTAACTTTGTGATTTGTCTTTTTAAGTTCATAAAAGAGGCCTCTGAGATGGAGGCTACTAACAGCGAAGATCAGGGAAGCCGGACTAGTGACAAATGCTGCCAGACTGAGACCCTTCAGGCCTGCTGTTGCCAAACAACAGAAACCCCTCAAGAGCCTTGTGGCAAAAATCCAGGTAGGAACTCAGCACCTTAAAGTCAACATGAAATCAAAACTGACCCCTGTTTCCATTTTAAATACACATTCCTAGTCGTATTGTGCATGATTTGTCAGTGCAAGTTAATCCAAAGTGGAAAAAAATTTTCCTTTTAGGCTGACGTTACGAATAGCTCTAATTGTTGGCTTATTTTTGGTATGTAACGCCCACTTTTCAATATCCAATGAATTCTAAATGGATAAAATTAACTCCTGCCTACATTTTTTTTCTTGTTGAATATCCTGTTGCACTCAGAAATGCATCCCATTACAGAAGTAAAATGAGTTGAGAACGTTGGACTTTCATGGTTTGGATGTATTTTATTGATAATCCGATGCTGCGTTATCCCCTCTTGCTGATATCTGTGCATAATCAGAAGTAGTTGCCAACCCACATGCATTGTGAAATTAAGATTTATGTCTTCTCTACGCATTTATTGCAGAGATCTATCAATGTAGTTCGATTTAAATGCAATGTCTTGTGGCGACTTGGTTGTTAATGTTGGACAATCACATTCCCATGTGTTTACCACATATTTCCATAATTATCAATGCTGGAATAAGATTTCTAGCTCAGCGGGTTGTTATTTGTGTTCTACAGTGCTGCTAATTTCAGTGACCTGGAGTTGTTTGTCTTTATAGTAATTTATGGCCATACATTTAGACGAGCTGTTCTGAAGCAGAGAGGATCACATATACTGGCTGAGATGCAGACCAGATAAAAGTTGAATGCAAGAGAATCTTTCTTGCTGAAAAGAATCAAGATGGGCTTTTAATGCAGAAAGATTTGTTTGGGCAGCATTGTATTGTTTTACCTTGTAAAAAAATATTTAATACACAATTACCCCTATTCATTATTCATGCTTGATGAATAGAGTTGTTGATTTGAGGTGTAAACACAAGTGGAAATAAATGAATTAACAGTTATTTGTGATGTTTAAAAAAATGTCAAATATTCTAGAAGCAAATGCTGTCTATAAGTTTAACATTTTCTTTAATTCAAACCTGCATTTACTAACTCTTCTAGTTTCCACTTTGACAAAACTAATTATAGTAAAATTTCCCCACTAATGTGAAATGTAGAAATTATTTAAATATTTAAATGTAAAGTTCATTCAAATTGGGGAAATATATATATATATATATATAAATAAATATATAAATAATGTTATAAGTTAGAGAACTGTGGACACAGATGGTATTAAATAGCCTGTTTCATTTACTATGTAATATTCTCATCTATTCTCATAGTTAATGTAAAATGCTCCATATCTTTCAGACACCTGGTGTCAGATGAGAAGGTGTAACTTACACATCCTCAGAAGTCCCCTTAGATTAAACGGTTTTGCAGGTGACTCTCAGTTGGTAGATATCCATGGAAAGTTGAGATCACTACTAACAGTATACTATAGAATTGCCTTAAGGAACAATGACAGAGCCTTGCAGGTGTCCAAAAGAATGATGGAGTGTTGCAAACCAAAAGATGCTTGTGTCCGTGGGGAAATAGATTTACTATTTTATTTTATTTTTCCTGGCCTCCGTTCTGGCCTCACTTCCCTCCAGTCTTCGTTGGACATGTCTCTGATAACTAAACACTGAGTAGTTTCATCTAGACAAATATGTTTTTTGAAAGATTTACATTCTGCTGGTTTATTTGAAAGCACTTAAGGCAAGAATGCCATTCACAGCTTCATTGCTGTTATGTTCTAGTGATGAATGCAGTATTCATTCATTCATTCATTCATTGGAATTACAATTATTTTAGCAAAATATATCAGTTTTAAGTTTTTTTTTCTTAAAAGATTTCCTCAAGATTCTACTGCCTTTACATAGTAATTCTACATTTTCTTGTACATTTGCATTAATCACATTCAAAATGCAATTATTCAAGCATTGAGTTTATTCCTATAGTTATTATCCAGGGTCTGTATATGTGTAATCCATCCTGCTGTCATGCACTAAAGTTGGTATCATGTTTAGGTGAGCAAAGAGTAGAGTTACATGTGGCTTTAATTCAAATTAAAATGTAAATGAAAGGTAGAAATGCACCCCGGTTGGAATAATGAAGTTTTTGGGGTGTGAAACCAAAAGGAGATGTGGTGTCCTCTTTGTGATCTGTATTTCCATGGGCACCCTACCCTTTTGATGGCGTTATTCTCCTTACTTTTACCCCTTATTCACCTTATTCTTGACGTAAAAATGGGCGTGGCCATTTGTAAATTTTATGGGTCCTGCTTCCGTTCTCATTTGCTTCCAGCTATTTTTAGCTGTACAAAACCGCTCGTTTTGCTGCTTGATACTGCAAATTAGGGTGTCTTACCATATTATTTTAGTGTATTATCTTAATTATGAACACAGTGGTTTGTAGTGCAAACAGTCTTACTATTTACTGCACATTGTTATTCTTCTCGGTATTTCCCTATAGCGGCTAATGAACCGGAAGTCTCGCCCATAGGCTTACTACCACGTTTAGGAATAAGGTGGATACAACAGATTGAAACCATTTGCTGTCCTCATACCTGAATGGTGGAACTTCAACCGAAGATTGATGTGAAAACTTGTTTTACATAAAGCATAATCTAAAGTTTTGTTTTCTGTTTTAGTCCATTCGATTGAGCCCGGTGATCCACCCCTGCTTCAGCAGCAGCTCCAGACCTCCAAGTCGGGAATTCATCAAATCATTGAGTGTTTTCGCTCAGGTACTTCAATCTCGGAACTTTGATCATTCAGTAAATGCATTTCATGTAGAGTTCCTTTATTCACTGGTTATGGCATTTTGCCAGCATCAAGGCATTTTCTGTTCTTACTGAAAAGTCGAAAAATATGATGAGTGATACCAATGAGATTCCCCCCAATATATTTTTCTTACATAATGTTTGTTGTTGCTTAAGAATAACTGTTTGCTTTCAATATGTGCTGTTATTGCAGGTACAGCTCAACTCAAACACATGCTGCTGAAGGAGGTTGACACCATATTTGAGTGCAAAATCTGTCGAAGTCTGTTCCGTGGTCTACCAAATCTGGTCACTCACAAGGAGCTCTACTGCTTTTCCCGACAACCTCAGTCAGATGGTTTGTACAACAACTTAAGCGTTCTGACTTATGAAGTGATCAGACTCGTGAATTTTTCCCAGTGAAAAACAAAACCTAGGCATATAAATAAAATTCTGTCTTTGCTTACCTTTATGTTGTTTGAAGCTTGAAAGAATTAAATTTTTCATGCAGAACACAAAAGGAAGATATTTTAAAGAATGTATCAGCTGTTCAAGTCATTTGAGGTCCAAAAACACATTGGACCCTATTGACTTTCATTGTATTGACCAAAAAAAACAGTAAAATTTGTGTTCCACAGAAAAAATGTAGAAAACTCAAGCAACTACCTAGCAATACCCTTGAAACCACCCACAACACTGTAGCTATGCATTGGACGAGCACTCACTTTGTGGTGCAAATATAGTTTAAGTTTGTACACAGTTGACCCCATGAATAATAGTGTTATTAATAAGATTATTATTTTGTGATGCTATTACTTTCTACAGAGCCTTCACAAGGTGGGCAGAGCCAAGCTATCAAAGAACTTCTTCAAGCCATCTATCCACAGAAAGACCAAGAAAAACATGTCATTCAGCTGGAGGCCATTGAGACGAACCCTAATGCCGTATTCCAACAAGTGGCACTAGTGGAAATTCCTGACATGCCAGAAAACCCAGCCCCTACACCCCAGACTATGATCCCGGTACCTGTGAAGAAAAATCAACGCAAATCTATTTTGGCACCCAAAAAGGTCCAACAGTCAGATTTTGAAGACGAGATGGAATCTGAACCTGAAGAACACGAGATGGAATCTGAACCTGAAGAACCTCCTGTTAAAGAAGGTCAGAGCTGCGAAGAGCAAATAAAGATTGAGCCGGTAGAAGGGGAGGAAGAAGAAGAGGAGAGTGCCACCTCTGAGGTTAAGGAGATGAGGATCTCTTGCTGCCTCTGCGGAAAAGACTTCAGCTCCAGACGCAGCGTACGACGCCACTGCCGGAAGATGCATTGGCAGAGGATGGAGGAGTTACGCAAATTTACAGAGACGCGCACAGTGCCTACCAGCCTGCTGTCTATGGTGAAGGATAAGCATCCTGTTGAACCACCATCTTCTCCTGGGAAGAGTTGCCCAGTGTGCAAAAAGTCCTTTGCCACCAAGGCCAATGTTCGTCGCCACTTTGACGAGGTCCATCGTGGTTTGAAGCGGGATTTGATCACGCCGGACATTGCCACAAGACCAGGCCAGCCTCTTTTACTTGACACTCGTCCTCCTTCTCCAGCGAAAGCACCAAGCTCTCCTCTGAAGCAAGACAAGACACAGTACAACCTGACAAATTGTCGCTGCAAGCTGTGCAAACGCAAGTACAGCTCCCAACTAATGCTTAGGCGGCACATGCGAATCGTTCATAAGATGCCCATTCTAGAAAACAGCTCTCAGAAGGCCAAATCAAAGCACAAGAGAAGAGATAAGTTTTACCCCAAGAAAGAGTCTCTCTCGAAAGCTTCAGAAGATGATGGAAACCACGATGTGAGTTTTGACTTTAAGAGGATCTACTGCTGGTTGTGTAAACGTCAGTTCAGTACCAGTCAGAACCTGAGCAAGCATATAGCCGAGCTGCACACCGATGGAAACGACAGCATATACATCAAGTTTTACCGATGTCCCATCTGCAGATACGAGTCACGCCGAAAGCGCGATGTCATCCGCCATATCACAGTGGTGCACAAGAAGTCATCACGTTATCTGGCTAAGGTTATGCCTGCCTTGGAGAACCAGGCAGTGAAGAAACCAGCTGATGCAGTCTTCAGCAGTGCAACCAAGAAAACAAATTCAAAAGAAGAGGGTAGCGGGGAGCATAAAACGCAAGACCCACCAGCTTCTCCTAAAAGTTGTCAACAAGATCCTCTTGTATCTTCCAAAGCGAAGAAACAAGATTCCCCAACATCTCCAAACACTCGAAAGCATTCCGCTCTATCGTCGCTCAACACAGGCAAACTCGAGTCTCCACTTACACCACAAGACAAGAACCTTCAAATGTCCAAGAACCCACATGTCACTCGCAGTCATAATGTTATCAAGGGGCCACCCATCACCAGAAGCCAGGAGACCTGCACGGAGGTTAGGGTAACGAAAAACTTTTCCCTTCATGCCTGCGATATGTGTGGCCGGGCATTTGCCAAAAAGGTTTACCTGGAGACGCACAGGCGGAGACACAGGACTGCCATCGCAAGTGGGGACAAATTACAAGGAAGAAGCACTCGATCAAAGGCCCTCATTTGGTAGGTTGATGCCATTCAAAAAGCATCTTAAGATTATTAGCGTTGCTTGCTAAGGCAAGCCTTAAAGCCCTTAATCCAGGGATGTCCAAACCCTGCTCCTGGAGAGCTACCGCCCTGCAGACTTCAGTTCCAACCTTGCTCCAACACACCTGCCTGTAATTATCAAGTAACCCTGTGCACCTTGATTATCTGGTTCAGGTGTGTTTGATTGGGGTTGGAGCAGAAATCTGCAGGATGGTAGCTCTCCAGGAGCAGGGTTGGAGTCCCCTGCCGTAACCCTGAAGTGTTAGGGGCCATTCACATATCATGTCTTTTGCGCGCTCAAGTTTGTTATTTCAAATGAAGGCGCGCGGCAAGTGCATGCAAATAGAGAGTGACACGATCGCGATCCACATGCGGTTACAATGCGCATGAGGTGCGATGCGCTCGTTTTTCTGCGTCTGCACCACAGCGAGATGAAAACATCTCAACTTTTCAGAATGCTGCAAGCGCACCGCGGGTCATGCGACAAAAACCAACCAATCAACTTCACCCTTTCCGTAACAACACTGAAAGCTCAGCTTAGATGAGGGAACAGCTGATCATAGCTGTACAGAGATACCCATTATTAAACATGTGACATGTTCAGCAAAGGATAAATGTGAACGGCCCCTTAAACTTTTGGTTGTAACTCGTCCCACTCTGTTTGCATTAAAGGGGTCATATGATGTGATTTCAATTTTTCCTTTCTCTTTGGAGTGTTTCAAGCTCTTGGTGCATAAAGAAGATCTGTAAAGTTGCAAAGACTAAAGTCTCAAATCCAAAGAGATATTCTTTATAAAAGTTAAGTCAACCACGCCTACCTAAAACGGCTCGTTCTAACACGCCCCCACATATCTACGTCACGATGTGGGAAGATTTGCATAACGCCACCCAAATGTTCATGCAAAGAAAGAAGGCGTAACTTTTATTCTCGTATTGTTGTTGCCGCTGCTGCCATGTTGTGGAGATGCTGTGTGTTTCGTTGTGAAAGCGAAACTACTTTGTTTGACCTTCCAAAAGAGGACGATATCCGCTTCGTCATGCCAGGAGCTGATCCGTGCTGGTTGCTGAGGAAATACATCAACTTCG